TGCCACCCCTGCCACGGCTCGGCTTCCCCACCCGGGAATGCAGAGCAGGCACCGAGCCGTCCCTTACCGCGTTACAGCCACGGTCCGCCGCGCCGCACGAGCCAGGCAGCGCGGGGCCGGGGGGCAAATTAATCTTTATCATTAAATTGCCTTGATGCTGCTAATTAGAACCGGAAAGCTCATTTGCATCAGGGCAGCTTTCAACCAGCTCAGACGCAGCGGGGGCTAAAGGGGCTGTTTAAGCTAGTGACTCATGTGAGCAGCCTGGCTTTTAAAAAAAGCGAGCCGAGCTGCCTGCGTAGCGAGCGGGACGGAGGCTGCAAGCGCTCCGTGCGCGCGGGGCTATCCGTGCGCATCGCTGCCTGCTCAAGCCATAGGAAACGTCATGTGCAGTGCAGCTGGGTTTATTTTCGCTGGGTATTTTAGCACCCAGCGGTGTAGAATGGGAGAGGAGCATTTCCCAAAGGGGTCTGTAGACCCTGGCCACTGCCCTGGTTGTTGGTAGATGTGTTGCCTCTTGGAGCAAGGACTTAAGCAGCAAAATTTGGCTCACGATGTGTAGTCTTCTCTGCAATGCAAGGAAGGAGCGTGTTGGCACTGCTGTTAGCTGGCATGGAGGGACAGCTCCTGGGGGCTGGCAGAGGTGAGGATTGAAGCAGACGGGGCTGGCGTGTGTGGGGCATGTGGCACCAGGAAGGGATTTGTGCAGGAGCCTGAGGTGCCTGTGGGGACCCTGCACCTAGTGAAGGGCTTTTGGAGCCGTTCTTGTCGTGGGCCAGGTTGTCACTGAAGGAAATTACTGCGGGAGGGCAATAGGGGCACTGGGCATATCTCTCTTCATCCCATCCCCTGTTCCCTCGTGCATGCAGGAGGACTTGTGCTGCTTAGGTTATTCCTAAATTAAGCCACCCTCCTATATTAAGGCTTCATTGTCTTGACTCAACGCAAGTCTTTGGGCTTGCAAACCAGCTGCAAGCACAAACCAAGCTGCAGCAAAGCCAGGTTTCAGGGTGCTGGGCACAGGGAGCCTCTTGGCTTTGCTCCGCTCAGGGAGATTTAAGCAGTTTTGTCTCCTGTGGGATCAGGCCATCGTGTTCGTGCCAAGCCAATCCCCTGCAACAGCCACAGAGACGAGCGTTGCTTGTCGACTTTAAACCAGGCTGTGGTTCCCATTTTAATTTGATTTCTCTAATGAGGGCCTCAACATGTGTGTGCGCTGGGGAGGTGGGAACCTGGTATCAAGTGTTGCCATAAAACATGATGGACAGCTGGAGGTTGTGGGATTTAAACAACTTAAAGAGGGGAGAGTTAAATAATCTCTGAGCATATCGAGTTTGTGATTGCGGAGGAAAATGCGCTCCAGCTTCAGTGAAAGTGATTTGGGGATGGATTACGCAAATAAAGCAGCGATTAATGAGCAAAAGTTGTTGGAGAAGCCTATTTGTCACCCTCAGAAAGCAACCATCTAATTTCACCCGCTGCTCTTCATTGCTCTTGCATGGCTTTCCATTTGCTCTAGGCAAAATACATTACTCTTCAATAAACAAAAAGCAGTCCTGCCACACCACTTCTCCTTTTACTCTTTTCTCTAATGCTCACTTCTGAGGCCTTTACTGCTTACTGCATGGAAAATGGCAGATTTACTCCTCAAACTACTTTCCCTCTCACTCCCTGCCCCCTTTTTTATTTGCCCTTGGTCTCCTCGCTGTGCAGTTGGCTCCAGGGCTGCCCTTCCCGTGTCTGGGCACTGCATGAGCATTTCCCTCTGGGCAAGTTTTCCAGGATGGTGCCGCATCCTCTTGGCTTTCCTCTTGGCATGAACAACATGCAGGGTGGTGCAGGAACAGCCTCCAAACTCTGTTCACCTGGGATATACTGCAAGGTGATCAGGATGGAGTTTTGCTTCCTGACGATGAATGCACCCATGTTTATATATAACAAATATAATCTGGCCATTTTCACTTGCTCTGCTGTGGCCAAGTGCGGCTCTGACACCAGCTTCGGTCCTCTCGCTTGTGTCCTTCAGCTTTTCTAGAAAATGTGACAAGGAAAGGAAGCTTTTGTGTGCTGCTCTGCTCCCTTGCTTTATATTTTTAAGCTGTTTTTTGGCTGGTAGGGGACAGGGTCAGAAAAATATATTTGAGTTGACTGTTGTCCAGAGCACAGCTGCAACTGTAATTAAGTCTGTCTGCATTTGTTTTCTTTAAGAAAAATACATGTGGAAGGGGAAATGCATTTTTTTATAAACAAGACTCACTGGCTGGCAAAATAAGGCACCAGAATTTCCGGCACTACCTTTCCTGCAAAGGCTGTTCCTCAGCATGGCAGGAGGAGGCATGTCCAACATGGTTTCCCTACTGTTAGTGCCATCAGAAATCTTGGAAATGGCACTTTCCCTTTCCTAACAGCTGCTGATCTTTCTGCTTCTCTAGTAATGGGGCTTCTTGGTGCTCTACCCCCTTCTAGCTGGCTGTCCCCTCTCCACCGCCGTTAGGACAGTGATGGTTCTGGCACAAGCCAGCCTGCCACTAGCTTTTCCAGCTGATTAAATCAGTGCTTTCCAACCTCCCTGTGTGCCTGGTGGGATTTTTTTTCCTGGTGGGAATTCACAGGGCGGAGGGGGCAGCGGCCCGGCCATGTAACCCGCCCTGCTCCGAGTTTGCACAGCTGCAGCACTGACCCTGCTAAGGGGCTCCCCTCCGTCCCGGCAGGCAGTGATAACGGAGGGCTCCGTGTTTTGCAACCCTGACTGCTTCATCCTCTTTACGGCGGCAATCAGAGCATTGCTGTTTCCAGCTTATGGGAAGCTGCTCCTTGCCTTTGGCCAAGGTGGACGTGCCCATCAGGCTGCAAAGCACTCGGGCCTCTTCCTACATTGTGCTGTGGTTTCCCCTGCTCCACTTCGAGGTCAAGGTATCCATACATGATTTTTTTAATGCAGTTATAAACAAGAGATTCTGCATTTTTTCTCTCCTGCAAGAGATGAGACAGGATGTAGGCTCATGGGCAGGAGGGTTGCCTGGGCACCTTGTCGGCATCCTAAGTGTCGGCAGTGCAAGCCACCGCACGAGGTGCTGGGCTGGCACCCCACATCCCTCAACCCCAAAAAGCGGGCAGGGTTGGTGAGTATGTGGGAAAGGGGCTAATATTTTCCAGCTGTAGGAATTATTGCATTAATTTAAAAAATGTTTTCTTAGCATGGGGAGTTTGCCTCCATGAAGCTTTCTGAGACGCGTGGCCTCCTCTGGTGGCACGGGCCAGGGGATGTGGGGGCCGTGCATCCTCGCCATCCGAACCCTCTGTGCAAGGGCAATTTTATTTCCTCCCCGGCGTTTGCAATTAAATCAAAGACATTGAGGCACCGCTTTGAGCCCCCCGAGGTGGCAGGAGCCTTTGAGCTGCTGCCACCGCGGTGAACAAGAGGCCTTTGATTGCAACCCTTGCACTTGGACAAGAAGCCACTAAGCCCCTAATGTCTGATGTTTTTGTGCTTTTAGGCATTCGTATGTTAGATGGCGATGTAACAGATGTTGTTGAAGCGAAGTCGCTTGGCATCAGACCCGATTACATTGACATTTACAGCGCGAGCTGGGGGCCAGATGATGATGGGAAGACAGTTGATGGACCTGGTCTATTGGCCAAGCAGGCTTTTGAGCATGGCATTAAAAAGGTGTGGAGAACAGAGCGCCCCGGCGACACGCGTTCCTCCCTCAGCCCCGTCCGAGGTCCCAGCGCGGGGGGCAGCGCGCGAGGCCGGTCCTTGGTGGGGAGCATGCGCGCGTGGGGAGTAAGGGGTCAAGGAGGTGACAGCCACAACCCGGTATCGTGTCTCCTTCCCCCCGGTGAAGGTGGTGCAGAGCCTCCAGGCCCTGTGAGCTCCCACTGTCTCCTCATGGCAGCACCGCCATCTTAGGTGCATCCCCTTTTCCCGCCATTTTGTGGCCACAAGCAGCCATTTTGTGGCCGCATGTGGCCATTTTGTGGCCCACGCCTGCTCCTCCTCGCCCAAACAGGGCTGGATCGGAGGCAGGATGGGCACAGGACCTTTCACAGGCACTGAATAAACTCACCTGCCTCTTCTTTAAGTCCTTGGAGGCCAGGATCCGCCAAGTGGCTCCATGCAAAGCCATGCAAGGGCTCTGGGTGGCAGGCGGCACACGGGGAGGTGCTGCCAGCGCACTCAGGATGTCGTGTCCTTCCCATGCTTGTTTCTAGAAAAAGGCATTTTTAAAGCATGCCCAATTCTGGCTTAAAAACATTGTACAAGAGACCTTTCTGGCACTCTTGAGAAACCGTCCCCTCAGCCACTGCTGCCGTGGTAAGTGACCGTCTCTGCTCCGGGCTCTTCCTGGATGTTTTCACCGGCACGTGCTCCAAGGGATGCCGATGCCTTCGGTTTGTTCAGGCTGCCTCAAAGCCTCAAGTAGCTCTTTTGGGGGCTTGGAGTGGTTTTGCTTTAGTGAACAATTTGATGTGGGGTGGTGGAAGCAGGCCTGGGATGTGCTTACGGGAGCTTGCAGCACCTTGGGCAGCTTTGCTTCGGCTTTCCTTATGGCAATTCCTTTCTGGAGAATCTATTTTGGACGGGGCTTGAAGCTAGGAAGGGAAGTGTCATTAAAAAGATTTGTGTATGTGTATATACATATATATACTTTGGGGAATAGTCCTACTGGCTACTTCATGCTTACAGCATTGTGTCACCAGCCTAAGGGTAGACCTGGCCACCACCAGCAGCATGCCAGCATCCCTGTGATCCCCAGTTACCCAAACTGTGCTATTTCTTTTTACCCCTCTGTGCCCAAGGCTGCCCCGGTGGGGACTAACTCAGCAGCTGCTGAGCAGTGGGGGGCAAAAATGGAGCTGGGGAGTCGTGGGTTGGCAGAGCCCATCCCGAGGCTGTGAAACCAGCCCCAGCCCAGCCGTTGCCTCTTTTTGCAAAGTGCTTTGAGATTTCTAGGTTGGAAAGCAACGCATCAGTGCTGAGGGTTGCTTCTGACCCAAGGCTGCTCCAAAGACTCTACCTCCGGCCTTAATGTTATCTAAAAATAGGGTGGAGTGTTTTTCCCTGTATTTACTTAATTTCCTGCCTGGGGTAGTTCGTCTGAAGAGGAATTCATTGAAGTGCATGGGAGTTCACTCAATATAAATACACAGGAACAGGCTTCTTTTTAGACCTTTTTTTTCCTCCCCTGTGTAGGAGCTGTAAGAGGGAGCAGGCTGCGGCAAGGCGCCTTGTGCTGCCCCTCAGGCCTCTGTTTCAGGGAGCTTTTCCCAAACCGCAGAGCAAAACCAGCCACTATTGCCTGAGTAGGACGATGCCCGACCCCGCTTGTGTACAGCAGGTTTTCTTGGCATTGCCCGAAGAGGGCAACCAGGTCCAGCTCGAGACGTGGCAATCGGCTGCACCCCAGTGCATCACAGCAGTGATGTGTCCAGAGCAGCTTTACGATGGGCATCAGAGCATCAGGCCCTCTGAACCTGGACGTAGCAGGATCCATGTAGGAAGCAATCCTGTTTTGGCCCTGTGTTTCCCTCCTGCCGCCTTCCCCCAGCGTCACTGGCATTTGTGGCACACAGACCCCTGAGTGTGCAGCTCCTAGCTGCCCGCTCCCTGACTTTAAATAATGAGGAAAGCTGAAAGTGGATAGTTAGCTGTAACCTTTAGCCCAAGCAAACAGCTGTAGCTGAGTTATAAATCCTTAAAATTGAGTTTTTAATGGAAACATTAAAATAACCTTTATCTGTTAGCAATAGGACTGCACTGCGGTGATTTATCTTCTTAGTACTTGCTCCTTCAGCCACACCTTATTAGTTCCTGAGCTAATGGGGTGATATTTATCCTGGGTTCTAATTGAGTGTCATTAAGTAGCAGCACAAGCCGATGGTGCCAAAGCAGTGCTGAGAAAATGGGAAGAATCCAACCCAGCCAATGTCATTCCCCCAGGAGTGAGCTGCTTAGCTGTGAGCCTTGGCCAGGGGTGATTTTAGATGGTGTCTGGATTCAATTTTATTGCAGAAAGGAGCCCACTGCAAGGATGGCATTGGCTTATGAATGATTTCAAATATAGAGGTTGGGTATTTCATGTCTCCTTGCAGAAATTTTAGCAGTTATTTGTTTGAGAGCAAAGGAAAAGAGGTTTTTTTTTCTTTTTCTTTTTCACAATTTGACCTCCCAGAGAGTTGCTTTATTAGGTGATCTCTCATTCAGCTAGAAAACACCTTTAGGTGTCAGATGTATATTCGCTTGATGAACTCTGGAGGAGGAAAATGCCATTTATGTGCCTGTTAGTGTCTTTGTGCAACCATGCTGGACTTCCTCCCATGCAATCTTCTGCTGGGCTCAGTAGGACACGGGGTTTAGATCAGGACAAAACCCCAAATCCCTCAGCAGAGAGGAGCCACCAGCAGTGCTACCTGCTTGAGGAGGCTGGTAGGACCAGGCAGCCCGGAGGCTTTCCTGGAGCACCTGGAATTGTCATGCTTTGCAAATCTGTGCACACCTTTGACAATTAATAACTGATCTGATGACCTAGATGATCTGATGAGTGTTTGGGGAAATCTGAGTTTGTTCGTGATGAGGCTGCTCTTTTCCTGTTAGTAGATGGGTGGATTTTGCCCTCTGAGAGTCGTTTGCTGTCTGGTTCTCACTAGCTGCACTGCAAAGCCATGTCCTAGCAAATGTGTGGAGTGCATCTGTTTCCGTTGGACATGGTGCACATTGACAGAGGGGGATCAGCCCACGGCAGCAGACCGTGCCAAAAGCACAGGTCAGGACAGAGCAATCTCGGAGATCCAGGAAACCCTAGAAAGTGAGGCTAGAAGTCCCAGTGGCTGTTGGGCAAAGATTCAGTAGACTCAAAATCTGGGTCAGCTTCTCCCTTGACAACAGGCAGTGCAATAATTTCGATAGGAATTGCACTTTTTCTTATGGACTTCCAGATAACTCTATTAATCTTTGCTATGGAAATATCCCTATTTGGCTGGGAGGCAGCCCTGGTAATGAAAAATTTCATAAAGTAAGGGAACAGCCTGGCTTGCACTATGTATCCAGAGGCAGGATCAGCTAAGAGAGTCTCTCTCCAAGCAGGAGAACAAGACAGGTAATAAACCATCCTTCTTCCCCTTAATGCTCAACAAAATACAATAAACCCCGTGAATTCCTCTGGAGGAAGGCTGCATTTTTTTGTGGATACGGCCAAGCAGTAGGAGGAAAGTAAACTCCCGATCTGCCCAGGCTAGCCCCAAAATAGCAGCGTGTAATGCCAGGGAAGTCGGATTCACCCCGGCTACTCCCCGCTCGCTCTGCCACCGCTGCTCGTGCACTGATTTCCTGCCAAGCTCGGCAGGCGCCGAGCAGAGCTGCGTGTACGGGGGCAGAAATGCCAAACATTCATCTGGGAGAAAGGCAGCGTAATTAAAAAGGAGCAGGATGTCTTATGGTGTGTATCGGTGGAACGGCTCTGTGGCCTTCGCCGTGCAAACTTGCCTGTCCTTGCCTGTCTCGGCTCGGGGCCCGCTTCGTGTGACAGCCGGCTGGGAGGGGACGGCCACAGGGGCTGCCAAGGAGACCCATGCAGGGTGTAAACGAGTTCAAAGTGTGTCCTACCCTCCTGGCATCAGCATCTGTGCCAAGGAAGGGCAGCTGAGCCCCTCCGTGCCGCGCCGCTGGGTTTGTTTGCGCGTTGGGCCGGCGAGGAGTGTTTGTGGAGCGCGTGCCACCTGCCCCCGTGCCTCTCCCTCCCCTCCTGGCCTGGAATTTCCCCTGGCTCCGGGGAGGTCTTGGAGACCGACTCACCTTTCCCACCCCAGCAAATTAAAATCCTGGCCGAGTCGGAGCACGGAGCTCTGTCAGCTCTTGCAGATGTGGTGCCTGACAGGGGCTGCTCCATCAGATCTTCCTGCCAAGCTACATGCAGAGAAAAGACCAAGATTAAAAAAAAGGCCCAAAAGATATGTTATGGGAAGCCTGCCTTTGGTTTGGGTGGGTGGTTTCTGCAATGGGCTTTGTGGGCTCCGAGCAAAGGAGACGCTGTTTGGGGGGAGTTTCCTGGCGCTTCCCTGGGCCGGGCGGATGGGCTGGCTGGGGTTGCCTTCCCTCTGTGTGTGATGTGGTGGGACACGAGCCCCCTCCCTGCACAGCTGGAAAATGCCCTGACAGAGGTTTCAGCCTTGTGCAGGTGCTGTGAATTCCAGAGATGTTTTTTTTTGTCCTTTGAGAGTTTGCAAAAGTCACCAAAATCCCCTTGCCCTGCGACTCTGCCTTCCTTCTCAGTACTGGCTGCCTTTAAAATTGAGGCTCACTGCAAGAAAATACTCGTTTGTAGGGAGTGAATTAGATGGCTCCCAGGGCAATGGGAGTCCAGGGGCTGCGGCCGCATGGGATAGGCCGGAGAAGGGTGGGATCCAGGCTGGAAGTGTCCATATATCTTAACCCCAAATCCTAACCCTAGAGGGACAATGATTACAGAGGAGTTGCCCTGCACTATGGTATAGTAGCAGGGGACTGCAATTCCTTTCCTTCCTGTCCTGATATCTGAGTTTACCCTGGTCCAGCATTTGGTCTCATCACTTGTTTTTCTCTTTGGCTGCAGGGCCGCAGGGGCTTGGGATCCATTTTCGTCTGGGCTTCAGGAAATGGAGGCAGAGAAGGAGATTACTGCTCTTGTGACGGTTACACCAACAGCATCTACACCATCTCAGTGAGCAGCACCACCGAGAACGGGTACAAGCCCTGGTACCTGGAGGAATGTGCCTCCACCCTCGCCACCACCTACAGCAGCGGGGCCTTCTATGAGCGAAAAATAGTAAGTTTTCTCCCCTCTTTCCATTTTTCTGAGCAGGATGCCACTTCCCTGAAAGCTTTCCATGCGGTGGGGATAGTCCAATGCATGGCTCAGTAAATCCGAGTTATTTTCCTAGAAGTGCCGGGCCGTGCTGTGACAGCCCGGCTGTGTTTCGCCCAGAGGTGACTGCTTCTTGGCAGAGGAGGCAACGGGCCTTTCGATGGGAGCCTTTAGCAAGGAAGAAGTTGACTGTAAGGAGCCAGTGTGGAGCGTAATTGCTGGTGGCTTGGCAAAGTTTCTAGACATGCTTAGTTCAGTGGAATCTCTCGTAGGGATTTATTGAATTTAGGGATCTTTTCTGCCTTGGCCTAAACCAGCAGACGTTTAGGCATGTTTACTTTCAAGAGTTGGTTGGACTTCTCACGAGCTTGTCTGTAAGATCTGGGCCTTACCATTAGTTCTGTGATGGTTTGCACTTTTTTTGTTTTTTTTTTTCCTGGTGAAGTTCTGCAAAATTGCTCAGGGGAATGGCTCCACATGGCTCTTCCTTGCCTTCTGGTATCTCTTTTTTCTTTTTTCCTGTATCTAGGTGAAAAACAGTGTTGGAAGTTTGCAAAAACACAAGGGTGTTCGACACCTGTCTCCTAAGGCTCCCCTTGCTTAAAAAAGAGAATTTCAAGAGTTTTAGCCTCAGATAGGAATGAAAAGGGAAGATGGAGCTGTGTGCCAGGGATGTGGGGAGCCTGAATGCAGGTCCTTGCTGTACAGCATCCTTGGGTGACCTCAGTGAGCTGCTGCGTGTCCCAGGACTCAAGTCCTCATCTGCAAAGCAGGAATAGGAGCAGCTCTTCTTGCCCAAACGTTTTCTGAGGATTAATGCATTAAAGGCTGTGACGTTCGTAGAGTATCTCAGCTATTTGGAGGCCGTTGTTAAGAGGAACAAGGGATGGACCTTGCCTGGGCCGCGTGCACGTGCGGTAGTTTGTCAGCTGAACAAACATGAGGGAGGCGTTTCCTTACCTACCACTGCGTTGCCACCCGCCGCACGCACAGGCTTGGAGCCGGAGGGGGTGATTTGTGCCGGTGGGGCTGGGACAGCTCTGCTTTCATTAATTTATTGGGAGCACAGTGCCAATTTACGGCCCAATCCGACCTCTTGATTTTAGCAGTGATTTCTGAAGCCTCGTGGAAGTCTGTGCTGCAAAAGCCAGGTAGTTTCTCAGCACTCTGGTGCATTCTGCTCAAACCGAGCCCCGACAGCTACCGGCCGCGGCGGGAAGGGCTTTGCTCCAGCATTGCACAACCTCTCCCGGTTGATTTGCCTCCGCTAAAGCCGTGCCTGTGCATGTCCTGTGTGTTTTCCCGTCCCCGGAAAAGGCACCGGCTGCCATCGGCCCCCAGTACAGCAAGGGCACAGGGAGGGAGCCAGCAACCGGGCTTGACAGCTACCACCATGCGTTGATTAAGATAATCGCTTCAAATATGTTTGAATAAAACACGCCTAAACTCAAAGGCCCATCTGGCTGCGCAGCAGCGTGTCGGAACAGGATCCGAGTGCATCCTGACAAGACTTGGGCTCCGCGAGGTTGTGTGAATCCAAGAGGAGCAAGAGGTATTTTAATTAATTACTCACGTAAAGGTGGCTGTGAGAGGGCTCTGATGACAGCTTTTAAGAAAAGCCAGCGAGCTCTTATGTTTCCCGTTTGGCTTCCTCCTTCATGGTGTTGCAATAGAGAGCTTTCCCTCAAAGCAGCAGGAAGGCAACGTCACAGAGGGTTAATGAATCCTTTTTTGAACATCTCCTTAGATATTTTTCCCTGCTGTTCAGGCTATATTTGCCCTGTCACAACAACTTTTGTGGTCTTGCTTTGCAGCAAGACATTTCCTGACGAAAGTCTCTGTGCGTCATCTGCAACTCAGGCAATCAAAACATCACCCGCCAGCCCTGTGCGTTACCAGGGCCGATAGGGAAATCTCTATCCCAATGTTTGCTCTTTTAGTACTCAAACCTTAGGCTTTTCTCTGCAACTAGAAAGCTGGGAATGCTCCTCTTTTCTTTTGTTTCTCCCCATACAAATGGAAATTTGTGCAAAATGCCAGGAACTGGTGCTTTTAAGGAAAGGGCCAGATACAGTGGAGCTCAAAGGGAACCCCCTTGCCTGCACCAGGAGGCTCCTTGCTGCAAAGCTGGCCACACCGCTCTGAGCTATGTCCCTTCTGTCCCCAGGTCACCACGGACCTGAGGCACCGCTGCACGGACGGCCACACCGGCACCTCCGTCTCTGCCCCCATGGTCGCCGGCATCATCGCCTTGGCTTTGGAAGCAAAGTAAGTTGAGCTGCCTGCTCTTGGGTGGGGTGTTTCCGTACTCAGTACCCAGTGATCAAAAGCAGAAAACAAAACAAACAAAAACAGGGGTTTTCTCTAGAGCTGCTTGAAATGGGCCTGAGTCATTCTAAATTGCTCCTCTTTTGCAAGGTTTGATACAGCACTGTGATTTTGTATGTGATTTTGTATGTTCTATTGAGGTAATTCTTCATGTGTGGTGTTTGTTGAAAATTTGTAAGGGAAGTCGGGCTCTTCATCTGGGACACTGAAAGCACTGGCAGCCAGCTCTGAAAGGAGTTTTATAAATACTTTGTTTGAAAAAATATGTCAGGAAATGTCTCGGAAAATGGAAAATGCCTGCGAAAGTGATGGCTTTCACCAAGTGTTTCATTTGGGGAGAAAGCAGTGCTTTTGTATAACATCAGAGATTCATGCAGTGCGAACGGCACAATCCTCTCCCCGTTTTAAACAGGCTCTGGTGGGAAGTGAGAGCCCCAGCTCAGCCCTCTGCTCTCCCCTAGCCGGTCTCCTTCCCAGCCGCGCAGCGCCGCTGGCCCCGGCTGAGCTGCGGTGCCTTCCCGCGTGTCCCTGCGGAGCATTTTCTCATGAGCTTCTCAATATTATTATTTTTACGGGGTGGAAATAAAAATAAACCCGAGCCATGGCTCTGTTTCCCAAAGCTATGAATAAACTGTAGGTAAGTGTGGGTGGCAAAGCGCTGCGGAAGAATAATATGATCTCATTAAGGGATGGAGTTCATGGCATCTCTGCCTTCATCTGTCTTCATCAGTCTCCCCCCGTCCTCCCAGCTTCCAGCCATTTGGCTCAATTTTAAATCCCAGAGTCCAGGCTGGGTGAATACGTTTCAGGAAGTGTCATTTTCATTACAAATACATTAAGGGAGTTAGATGTATTTTTTGAATTGTATGGTTGGGGCATAAAATGCAACATTAAGTACCAGAGCATGCACAGAGCATCACACACACCATTCTGATGAGAAGGAATAAATTGAATCAAAGCTTAAGATGCTCCAGAAACAACTGTAAGAGAAACCATGGAAAAATTGTCAAAAATTTCTCGGAGATGGGGTCTTGGATGGTGTTCAAAAGCCAGCGGGGCCCTGTGCCAGTACCTATGAACACACAGTCCCCGAAGCTTCATTTTTCTGTTAAATGAGGGACCCTGGTTGCTTCCTGCAGTATTCGTGCAAAGGTAGGATCCGTGCCGCAGCCTGTATCCGTGAGCTGTCGTGTTTGGGCCCCCACGCTGGGATTTGATTCATTCCTGACTCCTCATTCCTGATTTGCTCCGGTTACACCTTGGAGCATGAAAATATCTTGAAAATGAAAATATATTTTCCCAAAATAAATCCTCATTAATATCCTCAACTTTGGGCTGACAGTCCCCTCCGGGCAGCCTGGGCTGTGCTCCCCCAGAGCACTGCAGCCAGGGCTGCCACCACAAGCCATGGCCAGGACAGACAGCGTTTTATAACCATTTGATTATTTATTGATATCAATAGCTGATGCCAGAGCAGTGCATCAAGGCGCTGCAAAGCTGCAGCTTCAGACCCACAAAGGCCCCTTGCAGTGGGGTTACCCTGTGCCTGTCTCGTTGCAGCCCCTTGCTCACCTGGAGAGATGTCCAGCACCTGCTGGTGAAGACCTCGAGGCCCGTGCACCTGCGAGCGGCCGACTGGAAGACGAACGGCGCCGGGCACAAAGGTGAGGCGGCCGGGCGGCCTCGGTGCCGTCCACGCCGACTGCTGGGTCGGTGCCGAGAGAGGATATTTGCAGGACCACCTTCTTAAATTGTTATTTCAATGACCTGCAAAGCAGAAATTCAGCAATCTGCTTTGCTTGTCTTGGTGTTGTCCTCTCTGTGTTGACTCACATTTGGATATGGCAGTTTTATTTGCAAGAAAGTCTGCAAAAAGCCGAATAAAAGCCCCTAAAGCTCTGCTCACAGGGGTGTTTTTTCCCCAGTGACCACTCTCAGCTGGTTTTGAGCTGCACCAGCTGCATCGCAGGCAGTTGAACGGCACAAGGCAGAGGCAATAAATTGCAGTTTGATAAGCTCTGCAAAAGCCTGCTTGTCATCAGCTCTCCAGACCTGCGGAGCTGCAACATCTGCTGCCCGTTTCATCCAGCAGTAGCTGGCCGGTGCTCAGGGATTTGAGACGGTGCAAGGAAGTGGCTGGAGAAGAGCTCGCTGTGCGTGGCCAGCACAGCCCTGCCAGCCCACGCTGTGCTGCACTGCCGAGGCATCATGTTTTTAAGGGAGTCCGTTTCTGAGTCTTCTCTCTTTCCAGTTAGCCATCTATATGGATTTGGTCTGGTGGATGCAGAAGCTATTGTGCTGGAAGCCAAGAAGTGGAAATCTGTCCCGCCGCAGCACGTCTGTGTGGGAAGCCTGGACAGGGTACCCAAGTGAGTATTGGTGGCTGTGAAACCCTCCTGGCTCTGAGGGTCATCTTTGCTGTGCAGAGACTGCCCAGGCTCAGTGTTTTCTGCCTGCCTGGGCTCGGGGAGGAAGCAATGCCCTTGCAAAGACTCGCCAAGTTGTGACTTGCTGTGAGTGCATCAAAATCTGGCTTTCATGTATTGACACATCCCTAACACAGAGCTCCTGTGGATGCTCCCAGGAGTAGTCTCTTAAGCTGGGGGACCTTTGGCTGTGACTCCTGGGTCATTCAGAGCTGTCTTCCCCAGACAAGCCAGGAAACTTGCTTTTGGTTGATGTTTCTTGGTGCTGATGTTGCTTCTGAGATAGGAGATGCAGGTTCCCTGTGGGCTGCGCTTTGTGTTCACTGATTTGCTGTGCTGCTCTTCAGGGAAAAATATAAACTCCACAGAAGATTACAAGTGTTTTGCTCCTTGGAATTTAGGAGCCAGAGTGGACAGGACGAGTCATAATAAAATCCCATGTTATTTTGGTTCTGTGCTCTCAGTTCCCAGGTGGGTGATCAGCAGCAAGTTTTGAGGGCTGACAGTGCTCTTTGCCATTTTGGAAATGGCTTAGGGAGACCAGAGTATTCACTGGCTGGCTCCTATGTTAATAGTGAAGCGCTGGGCTGATATCTTTCTTCCCCAAAAGAGCTCATTTTGACTTGAAGGCACCAAAATTTTGCACGTTATCTTGTGCAAAGACTTCTCTTACTTCCCATTAAAGAGTAACACCTAATCTCCTTGAACCTGGTGTCAGGTTCAGACCATTTCAAGTGTGCATCATACAGATGGTTCTTCATCAGCTAGATTAAAGACTCAGATCAGTGCTGGGAGCAAAGGTATTTACTGCTATAAACTGTAAATCACGTATCAGATCCATCATTAAATGGGAAGGTGAGTACAGGAGAAAGGGCTGCATTAATAACTGCCTTGGCAACTCATCCTGCACCGGGTTCAGGAGTGGTTCCCTACGATGGGAATCCAAGCTCCTGTGAGGCCAGTGGGCAGATGTTACTCTGCAGGAAAGCAGGTTTTCAAGGGAATCCCACTGCAGCAACCAGTTCATTGATGAAAGGGGCTGCAGTGTCCCATTGGGGGCATGATTTTCTCTTGAGCCAGATTAGAGCATCTGGCAAAATCAAACCTCCTCTAAGACACTACCTCATTTCTAGAGCAGATGTGATTTGCTGATCTTAAAAAAAATAATATTTGGAAAGAATTAAGAATCATTAAGAGTAATGATTTGTAGCTGAGTTTGTTCATACAGCAGTTTGTCTGATAGAGATGCTAAATGCAAACCAAGGAGAAACACTGCACTGATAATTTTAATAAAAAGTGCACTTGCAGCCCATAAGGCATACATCTTGTTCAAAAGCATTTTGTTACTATAAAGCAATTCAGCAAATTCCTGTTCTAGGACAGCGTATGGCAATAGAGGATACGATAATTTGCTGCTTTTTGCTGTGAAGCAGTAGGAAACCAGGTTTTAACAAAACAGAGCGTCTGTGGCTTGCTGATAGGAACCAGAGACGCACAGCTGAGACAAGAAGCCAAAGGAAATACACCCAAATTATGTCTCATTATGGAGCCCCTCCTGCTCCTTGTTAAAACTGTGTTGTGGAAAGAGTCGGAAATATAGAGAGCAGTATAGTGTGGCTTGGATTGCTTTTTGGGGGGAAAATGTACAAAACTTTGGTGGATTTAAGCATGTTTACATCCTCCCTCTGTTATCTATCAGTCAGCCTTGAGCAAAAGACATAAGGAGCACGGATGCCCCTGTTGTCTGCACCGGCTTACACACAAAGTGAGCAGATATTCCCTGAGAAATATTAACAGGCTGAAACTGCTGCTGTTAACGGTCAACAATTTTCCCCTCCTCACTCCTGCTGTTCACTCACTCATTGTGGCTGCAAGGGAGGCCAACGTGGGCTGGGGAGGTGTCCGAAGCTCATCAGTTCTTGGGTTTGAGCACTGCAGGCACGTATTTACAGCCTTCACACCACGTGAGCACCCTCGACCCTCCTCTACCTCTGCCTTTGCTGGGGTGAGTCAAGGGCACGGGTTATTTGAGGGCTTTCACCTGGCAAGTGGGTTGCATGGGGTGGAGACTGTGCTCCAAAGACAGTGTTGGAAAAGGCCAGGGCTAAACAGCATCTGCTCAGCAGGAGTGAATTCTTGAACCTCTTTACTGTCCTGGTCTGTTAAGGAAAGGGATATATACATATATTTTTTTTTTCAATGAGGAGCAGATGCAGCATCTCAAGTGTTGTCCTTGTATGTGATGTTTTTGAGCGCTCCCTGGTCCTCCCAGGAATTACATCACTGTTTATAACTATTCTGATTATTTTGAATGACTAAGGCAATAAAGATGAACTGTGTGCTCCCTGTCAGACTCCCAAGCTTATGTCCTGAAGTATCCCATGAGGATGTCTGGGAACAAGGGGCAGAGAGAGGCTGTCCCCACTAATAAATCATGCACTGGCAGTGTGGCTGAGAGGCATCCCGGGCCGTTATCCTTCTCGGAGTGGTGCTATTTGTGTATTTGGCCCTCCAAAGCCCGCACACTTTGGTTGCTGTTGCTCAGCTGTGCTGTGGATTGGGGTGCTGGGCTCAGTCACTGGGTTTTGGGCCCCTTAGCTTGGCTCAGACCCAGGCAAGTGCTGGGCAGAGATGGCACCGAAGCGTGACTGGGACGAGCCTGTCCTGGAGCATCCCTCACCCTGTCCCCAGGCACTGCTGCCCCAGGACGGACACTGCCACCTCCTGCTGATGTTGTGCTTGTCCCCGCCAGGTACATCCGCGCCGACCACGTGGTGCGTGCCACCACGCTCACCAGCGCCTGCGCCGACCAGCACGAGCAGCACGTGGTTTACCTGGAGCACGTCGTGGTGCGCGTCAGCATCGCGCACCCCCGCCGCGGGGACCTGCAGATCAGCCTCATCTCCCCCGCGGGGACCAGGTCGCAGCTCCTTGCGAGGAGGTAAGAGCAGCTGCCTGCGCCGGAGGGTGGGGAAAAAGGGCAAAATGCAGTTTGGGAAGGCGGCATTCCCGGCCTGGCCTCCTCCCTCCTCCAGCAATGCTGGGGGCTGCTGCCAGAGCACACACGATGGAAACAGCCTTGTTCTCTCCGCGCTGGGCTAGGAGAGCGAAACCAATGGAGACAGCTGTGTCTCTGTTCATGAAAATCTAGGAAAGAAATTGTGGCTCTACACCTTCCCTGAGCTGAGTCAGTCCTCTGGCATCCCAGTCAGTGGTCCCTCAGTAAACTGCGAGCCATGAACATAAGTGTTTATGGTGATTTGAGGGCTCCCAAGTGGCTCTTGAGCAGCTGTTGGCAGTGCTGCATTTCATCGTCTTGCCTGTTGCCTTTCTCCAGGAATGGAGTTTGCCTCACAGTTTATCTGTAACCAGGAGGAGCAGCAGTGCTGCTTCCCCCTTTCTGATGACTCTTTTTTCTTTTTTTTTCCTTTTGTGTGTGCGCAAGTGTCTTGCAAAATGGCATTTGCAGGTGCAGGAGATGTTGGGGCTTGCAGGTCCTGGCAGTGCGGGGCAGGCCTCCTGCGTGCCCGAGCTCTGCCCTGAGTCCTGTGGAAGAGCCCTGTCCCAGTGGCTCTTGCAGGACACAGGACGGGGGGCAGAAAGAGCCCCCAGAGCACCCCATTGGCAGCTCAGTGTGCTGGAGCACCCCAGGTCCTTTCCTGCTTCCCTGGGTTTTGGGGGCCTGGTCTCAGGCAGCCACACACTTGCCAGGGCTCGGAGCGCCCCAGGGCAGCCAGCGGCACGTGCCAGCCATGCTGCAGCGCACCCTTTCCCATGGGAATGCTCCCCACGGCCGGGAGCCCCGGGGCTGGCTCATGCTCAAGCTGAGGCACCAAGGCCGTGAAGAAATGTATCCTTTTTTATATATTTGCTTTTTCTAACTAAGATGTTCGGCCTTGTGCTTCTGCGGGCATCACGTTAACATCCCCTCGCTCCCATTGCAGGGTGTTTGACCACTCTAACGAGGGCTTCAAGGGCTGGGAGTTCATGACCGTGCACTGCTGGGGGGAGAAGGCGGCGGGGGAGTGGACCCTGGAGATCCACGACACGCCGTCCCAAGTGCGCAACCCCGCGGCGCAAGGTAAGGGCGGATCTTGCTTCGTGTGGCTGGAACTTGTGGCTTTTATGACTCCGGTTTCTGTGAAATGTTGTTGCCCAAACTTTCATAAGCAGCTGACCTTGATCAAACCGCTTGCTCCGGAGGGGCTGGTGGCCTGGCTAAGCGTGGAGCCTGGAATGGGTTTTCTCCCGGCAGCAAATTTGCTGCAACCGAGAGCAAGGTTTCCAAAATTAAAGTGTAATGAGTCAAAATGAGGAAAGCCGAGAGCTGTAATTTTTGTTTGTTTGTTTTGCTTTTCTGCTGGAACATCTGCACGGCGGGCAGGCTTGTGCAGCGGCGCGCAGGCGAGATGCCCCTTGGGCTGCAGACAGACATCCTGATCTCCCGGCTGCCACCGCACTGGCGGGGGGCTCCTGTCCCTCGCCTGACCCCCTGTTTATCACCAACCCTGCTGTCCCCCTGGGCCCATGGGCAAGCTTTCTAACCCCTTCCCACGCGGAGGATCCGGGCTGGCGCCATCCATCCCCCCTGTGCTGCCGGAAAGGGGCAGCCACCGCACGTGATGGTGCAGCGAGGCACGGAGTGTCCTGCCCTGGGCTGGTGTAGGGGTGTTAAAATCCAAGTTACCGTTGATAGAAAGCCAGAAAGATATTAAAAATGCCTCCCACGCAACACCCTGGCATAGGCACACGCGGAGGTTGATTGCACAGGAAGGTATTTCTGGGTTTTGCCTTAACCTGAATTCTTTTGAACTTGGAGTAGTGGTAGAGAAACGCCCACATTGCTGCTTTTTTCCCTGCTTTGTATTTATGGTTTTTGGTTGATGCTTTTGCAAAAGGCAAAGTGCAGCCCTGCGGGGCGGCACGCGCAGAGCTCACACCGGAGCCTTGGAGACCTTCCCAGCGAGGAAGGGGCTGCTAGGCAGGACAGAGAGGGATGACAAGTACAGAGGAGAGCAGAGACCCAGGCAGGAAGCGCTGCACTGAGAAAAACATTTTTCATTAATTTAATAATAATTATGAGGCAAAGGTAATTTTCACCTAATTGGGGAAGAATCTCCCAGCTGCTGTGCTGGTAGGATGCTGGATTGCTTCCTAGGGCCTTGCTTTGCAGGAGCGTTCAATGTGTTTGTTCAGAAAATGCAAATTAACATATTGAATCGCTCTGTTAAAGAGTCTGCAAGGTGTTTGAAGTCAAGAGGAAAAAAAAAGGGGGAAAAAAAAAGCGGAAAACCAAGAGAAAAACAAGTGAAGAGCAGGAAGAAAGAGGGCAGATGCTCTCAGCAAGAAGCCCCCTGGTTGTCACTTCAACCAGGGACCCCGTGTGCCGGGACGCTGCTGGGCCGGCTGCACGCCGGGCTCCTGCGCAAAGCCCGGCCGTGGCTCAGATTCTCTCCTCTCACGGTGTTTACAGCCCCGTGGGGAGGTGACATTTACAGGCACTCGGATGTTATGGTTGGGAGGCCTCATCTTCCTTTGCGAGTCTTCAGTTCTCCTCTTTCCTGGATTTCTGGCCCGTCTGCCACATCCCCACGGCCAGAAAAGCTGCTCGGGATGCTTAGGGCGTTTCTTTTTTCCTCCCCCTGCGCTGATACAAAAGGGGACAGTGTTCTGGGGAACTGTACTCTGGCTGCCGTCTGGTCAGACACAGAAATGCCTTAAACACCCTTAATCCTGCTCTCATTAAAGCCTCCCTCGATAGCATTGAAAGTCAGATAACAGGCAGCGCCTCTGCTTTCTGCTTGCGGGAATGAGGCCCCACGGAGATTTTTGTCCCTTCTTGCCCGTCAGCCCTGAGGCCACCAAGCACACCCCGGCATGTTCTACCCACCACAGTCTCAGCTGTGCTCTGCACTGCTCAAGGTGACAAAATGCCCCAGTGCTTTAGGGTAAATTTGTTCTTTTCTGGCCTTATGGCCAAACCCTTCCCAATTAAAACTGCCTGAGTTTCCCTCTCCAATGTTTGCAGGCTCCGTGCAGGCAATACTCACTTTAAATGCTTTAAATACTCGCTTTAAATGCTTAAGCAGGTGGATGATCCTTTCAGTCTTTTCCAAGTGTAGCCTAAAGGAACTTAGTGCATGGAGAGCCAAGGTATTTGAGTGTTTGAAATATTAAGCCCTTCCTGGAAATGCAAGGATTAGCAGTTAAACCCAAATGCACCGTGGGCTTGAAATAACTTGATCTCCGAAGTATTGATTGGGAATTAAGAGCCCCCCCCACAAAAAAAATCCATGTTGCAAAGAAGGAGCAGCGCTTCATGGAGCAGGTAGCAGAGCTCCCCCTCGCTCCCCCAACACTGTCCAGGTTGGCAGAGGACCCCTGTGGCTTTTTTTTTTTTTTTTTGCTTTGTAGCTTTTAAAGCCAATGGTTCTCTCTGTACTTTGGGCATGAGGTATATGGTGGCAGTGTGATTTATCAGACAAGAGTTACAGCATTAAAAAATTCCCCTCACACATACGTTAAACTGTTGCCTCAGTTCAGACAGAGCTGGGTGGGCTAAGGAAGGCTTCTGGTTTTACTTTTTTTGCTTCTTTATCGCTGTGTAAATGGCTAAGCCTGCGCCTGCTAGGAGATGGTCGGTGTCCTTGTTGCTCCCTGCTGCCGCCTCCCTCAGTTTACCCCTAAATGGTGCTTTGCCTGCAAATCCCCTGAGTCTCCACTGCTCCAGAGAGGAGAAAGAGGGTGGGAGCGTCAGGCAGATGAGTGAGGGGGTTCTGACCTTGCCTGTACTGCAGGGAAGCTCAAGGAGTGGAGCCTCATTTTCTATGGGACGGCCGAGCACCCCTACAACACACTCAGCTCCCACCACTCCCGCTCGAGGATGCTCGAGATCTCGGCCTCGGAGATGGAGCCGTCAAAGGCCGCCCTCCTCCAGAGCCAGATGGAGATTGTGGAGGAGGAGGAGGAGTATGCAGGTAAGTGATGAAGGGCTGATGGGGCTTCCCACAGCACAGGGACTGTCACTGGCTGGGGCAGCGCAAGGCAGCAAAAAGCCAGGGCTGCCCTGGGGACAGGGAAGGAAGGTCAGTGCGACCTCCCTTCCCAGCCCTGGGAGATGGCTCAAGCCTGGGCACAGCACAGCTAAATCCTGCAGCCCTGCAGGCCCTGGCGGGGCTCTGAATCCATCACTCCAAGTCTTGCTGCAACTGAGCAACCTGGTGGTTCTTCCCAGGCCCTGTTTGGCTGGGTGAGTTCGCCCAGAGCCAGGCTGTGAGCAGCCAGACGGTGTGGGGCAGGAGAGCAGCCTGATCCCCCCTCCGGCTCCCCTCCGTGGTGCGAGCGGCGGCAGAAGGGAGGCCGGATCCGGGACGAGCACGCTGGACCCCAGAGCAACCCAGCCGCTGCAGCTGGTGACGGAGGCATCGTGGCGAGCGCGGAAATTAGAAGCTAGGAAAAACACCCCGTTCCGGTGCTCCCGCCACAAATTGGCGGTGAAGACGTCTGGGGAGTAAAAAAAGATCCTGTGCCCGCCTCCCCCACCGGACACGGGGAGTGAGGGAGGCTCCGGCCGGCTGCAGAGCCGCCCGCGGCCGCTCCGCCGGGGGCTGCCGGGGCTGGTGCTGATGCCGTTGTGGGCACCGCGGCGCCAGCCCGAGCCGGGCACGTGTGGGCAGGCGGTGCCGTGCAGGCCCGGAGCGCTCGGGGGGTCCACGCGCTCGCCCCCGACCGCCGCGTCCCCCGGCAGCCCGCTGGCCTGACCCTGCCGGGGGCTGGGAACGTGTGCAGGCCTTAATCGCCACAGCTTTGCCCTGGAGACGTTGCTCATCTGCAATGGCTTCAAAGGCCCCGTTCTCTCTTCCAACGCAGCCCCCACGTGTGTTTGCCTGGGGGACGCTGAAGGAAGGCAGCGTGGGATGGTTGCTGGGGAGGATGAAAGGAGCAGGGGGAGGCGAGCGGCCCGGAGCGGGAGCACTGCAGCGGGGCACGGGCTGCCTGGCCAGCACGGGAGGACGCAGGGAGGCGGGAGAAGGCTCCTTGGCTCCCTGCCCTCTCTGTAGGCTGGAGAACCCGGCTTGGGGTCAAGGAGGGAGTGTGGTTGGGAAAGGGCAGCCTCGGAGACTGGGCTGGGGGCACCTTTGCAGCTGGAGCTGGCTGGTGGGCACAGGCAAACACTCTCCCTCGCCCTTTTGAGCCAGAGATGCTACAACAGTCTGCTGTACCAAAACTCAAACCAGAAGAGCTTGGAAAAGCTCATTCAGCAGACATGTCTCCTCTCTTGAAGGTCTGTGCCATCCTGAGTGCGGTGACCAGGGATGCGACGGTCCCAACGCCGATCAGTGCTTGAACTGCATCCACTACAGCCTTGGGAGCGTGAAAAGCGGCAGGTAACAGTCTCCTTCATGTTCTCCTCCACATGCTGCTCAAATTAAAAGTTGACCCCACGTGCAGGAGCACTCATGGAGTCACTGATGGGCTCAGGAGCCCAAGAGATGGGTTGCTGAGGTCCCATGTGATTTGTGAAATGCACCTTTAGGGTCCTGAATGTCTTTGGCTGTCGTGGGGAAACCCTAATCTGGCCGAAGTGGTTGGTGGTAGAGTGCAGCTGGACAGAGAACTAGGTGCAGGACACTGACTGCCTGACCAAGCACAGCAGCTCCCACCTTTTTCTGGGTTCCTTCCTGCAGGATGTGTGTGAGCTCGTGCCCGTCAGGATTTTTTGGTGACAAAGGCGCAAGAAGGTGCCGGAGGTGCTACAAGGGGTGTGAAAGCTGCCTCGGGAGGGGCCCGAACCAGTGCACGGCGTGCAAGCGGAGCCTCTATCACCACCAGGAGATGAACTCGTGCGTGGTGCTGTGCCCGCCCGGATTTTACTCTGAGGAACGTAAGGACTCCTACCACCTGTAAATGGTAGCATGAGGATATGCAGGATTTAATTCTTGTTTAAGTGCTATGGATGGCAGAAATCACCTCCACCTCTGGGTTCCGACTTAGAAATACACCCAGACGTGGATGTGGAGGAGGAAAAACTCGGTGTGCAGGGGCTAGCCTGCCACCTGGGCAAAGAAACATCCCTTGGGCTCTGAAGCATGTTGAGAATCTAAGCCAGCCTGGTTTGGTCACATAAATATTCGCTCCCTCTTCTTTTGAATATTCCCGTTGTCTGAACGGGCACTTGGAGGTCATCTGCACTAGCAGGGGCTCGTACGGATGGGTGGAGGACGTGCATCTCCTCCCCAAGTAGCTGCTGCTAAAACCATGTTGGGCTGCAGCTCTTCATGGGGTTCTGAGGCTGTGACTGCAGCTTGCAAGTCTCTGTCCGGGTTTTATTCTCACTGACTCTGTCTGTTTTTTGAAAGGTCAGAAACGCTGTCTTAAATGTCATCAGAGCTGTAAAAAGTGTGTTGGCGAACCAGATAGATGTACTGCATGCAAAGATGGATTCAGGTAAAATACCAGCCAGGGCAAGTTTATACCTTCAGCATTTGTACATGGATTTTAAATTTGGGAAACTGATGAGAAGCCTGCTGCTGATGGGACATCAGAGGATGAATTAGCTAAAGATCTAGATCCTATTTCAGTGGTACAACAGCTGGGACAAAGTGCCAGAGGTTTGGGCATTTAAAGGTAGCACCCCAGTCCCTCTCTTAGCCAACAAGAAGAGTCTGAATTTCATTTCCTTTTCTCCAGGGCTTGCTGCTATGGCAGGTGCTGTGCTGTGGTCAAGGACAGTGTTTGCTAAAATCCCAGGGGAAAGAGAGGTAGCAATTCCCTGTGGGTTGGCTTGGTGCAGCACCTGCTGAAATTGTCCTTCCACATGGAAGTGTCCTTCCAAATTTGGTGTCCTGTGAACAGAGCAGCTCCTGGCACTGCATTGACATGGAGCCCTGCTGAGACTCTGGCGGGGCTGAGCAGCCTCCCCCTGTGCTTCCCTGGAACTTCTGCAGCTTCTCAACTTCTTGACAGTCCCTAGTGCTTTCACTCAGGTTGCTTGTAAGGCAGGAGCAAGGGCATCTAAAAAGGATACAAAAAAGCAAAGGAAACATTAGGATTGCATGTTCTAAAAGGGGCATTTCCTCTTGGGTCTCAGATGGTTCCTTCCAAGCAGTCCTGGCCGAATGGGACAGTGCAGGTCACACACATTATTTCGCTTACCCTTATTAGGCTGATCCTATACATCCAGTAGCGTTTAGCTTTGCTCAAAGTGAAAAAAAGTGCAAGTGGAAGCCCTTTTGAGACACAATCCGTGCAACACTTGCTTTTTATTGTCCAGTGTCCTTCTAAGCCAGGCCTTTAAATCACCTTTGTTGCGCTGAGGCACTAGCAGCCCTGCAACAGCAGCTTTGCTGAGTGTGTTCCCTCTCTGCTGTTCAGAGAAGCCGCATGGGGCCAGTGTCTGGGTCTAGAGCCCACCCAAAGCCTTCCTACCAGGCATCCCGTGTCCTTTGGGGCACGATGTCGATCCTGGCCGGGCTGGGCTGGGCTGGAGGCAGCCCGGAGCCCCCCTTCCATCCCGGCACCGGGAGCCGTGCGGGACAGAGCAGGGAGACGGCTCCAGCCCCGAGGGATGCGGCAGCCCAGCGTGGGGCTGACCGTGGGGCAGCACACAGCAGCATCTCCATGTGCATCATTATGAGAAGGAATAAATCCAAGCAGTTTAATTCCTCAAAACCAGGGGCCCTTGGAGCTACTAAAAGCCTCTTCGGAGGAGGCACAATTGAAACAATTTCCTTTTATTCCAAAGAGCCTAATGGTGCAGCAGGCCTTGTGGGAGAGCTGGGCTGGCTGCCCGTGTAGCAAAATAATTCTATTTCCTCTTGCACATTTAATCAAAGAATCAGCAGCAGTTCCTTCAGCCCCAGACAGGACTTCAATCTCCTCGGCAGCGCGGGTGCCTATGAGCTGCCTCCTGCTCCGGGGGGAGGCAGGGGCAGCCCTGCTCTGCATCTTCCCCTTTGCTTCGTGGTTGATTGTGGCTGTGGATGGATGTGGCACAGAGCCTGCAGCCAGGAGCCCTGACCCGAGCTGGAGCAGAGCAGGGAACTGAGGCAGCAGACAAGGGACAATGTCCCTGAACCCCAGAGCATGCAGGGCATCAGCAGTGGAGAGCATCGGGCATAGCACTGCCAAATGCCCAGCTGCAGCAGGTTGCATCAAAATTCTCTTGAATTTATACTGTATCGCTAGCTCTGAGTGCAAACATCCTCTGTGCTTTCCTGACAGCCTGGTGGGAGAGAGCTGCGTGCCAGAGTGCCAGCCTGCCAGCTACCTCAGCAGGGAGCCCCGGCGCTGCGAGAGCTGCCCTGCCGCCTGCCCGGCCTGCGCAGGTTTGTCTCTGCTTGCGGTCTCCTCCGTGACCCCCTTGTGCTCGTGGGCACCAGGTTTGCCAGCATGGGCACACAGGCACTGCCACAGCAATTGCAGCCAGTGCAGAGAGCCCCGGGGTTTCTGGGCACGTGTGACAACCTGGGACACGGCAAGGGTCAAGACAGCCCATGTGCGGGGCAGGAGCATGCCCTGCTGAGCGGGGGCTTTGCCCTGGGTGGCTTTTCATGCATTTGTCCCAGTTCTGGGTGGCTTTTCATGCATTTGTCCCAGTTAATAACCTTGCCCAGAGGGAAAAGGCTGGCAGAAATCTGAGGAGGGTGATTAGGGCCTGCTGCTATCCTTTCTCCTCCGCGTGCTGCCAGGTGATGGGAATATATACAAATTGGAAAGGTTTTGAGGGAGTTTTAACATTTTTATTGGAGCCATTCTTTATTTCTGCATCTGAACTTTAATAAGGTTGAGGGGGGGGGCTATAAAACCCACTCAGAGTGCTATTAGATGGCTCTCCAGCATATAAAAATGCCAGGCATTTAATGTGCACTATGCCCAGCTGCTGCCCAGCCAGGCGCATGGTGGGAGGCGGAGAGCAGCCACTCGCCTCCCTGCCGGGCCTGGGAGCAGGGGCTGTCCTCCCTGCGCGGAAACCGCCCGGTGTCCCCGGAAAGGGGCGCGGGAGCCACCGAGCCCTGCGGAGCGGCAGCGTCGACGCACGGCAGCCGGGCTGGAGCTGGTGTTGGGCTTGTTTCTGGCCTGGCGATGGAGGAAACTGCCTCGTGCAGACCCACTCAGGTCCCTGCTCGGCCTTTTGCCTGCAGCAGGGGCAGCGAGGAGAGCTCTGCATTGCTCCCTTGTGTCACCACTGTCACCCGGCGGTGCCATCAGCCCCTGGGAGTGCTGCCTGGCACTGGCCAAAATGCCCCCTACACACACATCACAGCCTCAGCAACAGCCTTCCTGTTATTCCCCTCTACAGATCCTTCCACTTAAAAATATCTTTGCCTTCTTCACCTACTGCTATCACTGTGTTCCTATGAAAGCTTTTCTGCACAGTGCTGACTTCCATCTGACTTCCATCCCGTTCGGAAGTTGCTCAGTATTCCCTTTGCATTTTGTCTTCCTCGCTTTTTGAGTGTCCAGCTATTTTCCATTGTTAATGTTTGCATCTGCCCTCAAAATCACCGTAGATCTGATGATAATATGATCTCCAGCCACTTCTTGCTCAGTCGTGTGAATCTCGTTTTTCATACGTGGCTGGATAGCACTAACTCCAAAATATTCATTGATCTTGTTGGCAACTGTGGAACTGAACTGACTTTTAATTCCTTAAGAAAATGACTCCCCTTCTAATTCTTATTCCAGTCAGTGTAAATGTACCTCACTGCGTTTATTTTTCTAGCCTTTTCTCTCCTTTTCCTGCACAAACGCTTCTGCGCTGCGGAGCAGGGAAGGCCTCTCCTAATGCCATTTTAATCGCTGCGGTTTGTCCAGCTGTAATGCAGTGTTACAACGAGGCGTTCCTGGTGCTCCCGGCTCCTCTCCGGTGCATTTGCCGCCTCCGTCCGCTCCACAGCCGAGTTTAGCAGCTCGTCCCTCTTCCCTGTGTGCACGGCTGCTGCATCACCCTGGGAAGAGGGGCTGGGGCAAGAGCAAACCCCAGGTGTGTTTTGGAGATGCTCCAATCCCCCAGAGAGGTCTGTGTGCCCCCAGACGCCAGCCCCTTCCCTGTTGGCCGTTGCCATGTCACCGTGTCCCTTCCCAGGCTGGGCCTGGGATGCTGAGCACTCGCGC